TTGTCACGTTATGAAAAGCCACCTCTGGCAGAGACAGGCCCTGCAACTGGTACTGCCCTAAGCTGTTGCGGATGTCTGTCCAGATTACACAAGCAAGAAATTTGCTTTGTCTCAACTCTTTTACAGGAAAAAGAAAGTGAAAGGGAATAACATGGGAAATGTTGTACGTGTAAGTTGTGCCGAAAGCAGATTCTCGCCTGAAAGACTTAAGGAAAACAACTTTAAGTTACCTGAAGAGAGATTGAAGAACAAATGGAAATACTAAAATTTTATAGGAGAGGAATCATCCTTATGTTCACTGTGTTCTGTTAGCAGTTTATTCAAGAAAGAAGGAAATGGATATGAAAGCAGAAGTTGCAACTGTCAAACCAAATGTTACTGTATTGGATCAATCACAGAACTTAGTGGGTTTAACTGTTTAGATAAAGAATCTCAGACTAACTATATGATGAAGATACCCTTCTTGGCACTATTTGGCAGATGCACACCAGGTCTCACACACATGGTAGTATTAAATGCCTGTATTAGACTCATGTTTGTAATGTAAGCATACAAGCATGGCTGTGCTAGGTCAGAACAAGGATCCTCCAACCCTGAAGTTTTTTCTCCACAGTGGTTATAGGCTAGGAAGAGCAAGTGCTTCCCCTAAATACTGTCTTTGGCTCCAACTACATTTAGTTTGGGGGATTTCCTGAGCCGTGTATGTTTTCTTTATATTTAAAGAATATAAAAGACAACCAGCTTAAACCACAACACCAAGCCAAATAGATCTCTGTTCTGAATTTTGTTCAGTCTTCCCTTGAATTCATGCCAGCTTGAAGCAGGAAAAAAAGCTTTCTCCTTGCATGAAGCATTGGAATGCGGAGTGATCCTGGGAAGGATAAAGCACCTGGTTCCTAGCAGCTTCATTTGATTCTTCCCAATGGCTACATGTTTTGCACACCTTTTCTTTTTTTCCTGCATTAGAATTTTATGTATTTACATTTTTTCTGTCAGTTTTAATAGGATGGCTGAGATTTTTAGTATAAAGTGAAAGTTTGGTCGAGATTAGTGAAAGTTTCAGTTAAAGTAAAAACTGAAGTAATGGGCTTATTTTATTTTTGTTAATACTAAAATTGAAAACTTCTCACATAAAGGCGTTATTGTGAAAAGCATTAAAATTGTACTGGCCTTATCATCCAATTCAGGATAAGCTTCCCAATCACAATTAAGAGATTTCTCCATAAATCTAGATTGTATTTTTGGATCAGTTGATTTTCCCTATTCATTTTGAGAAGGAATGTCATAACTGGTAACACTGACCTTTTAGTACCAACAGATAAATGCTAATTTCTGTCCTGTTTTTGGCTAGTAGTTTCTGGCAAATCACCACCAAATGACACTGAAACCGTTTTAACTATGCAGTTCTTACCAGTTTAGACATCTGCCTGCCTTCAGCCACATGCACAATTCAAAGCTCAAAAGCTTTGAAAAACCAAACCAACATCACCAAAAATAAAAAACTACCTCTCCAAAACTGCAGCTGCCAGCATACTACTGTTGCTCATCTGTCTTTCCAAAGACACACCCATCAGAAAGCTGAAAGGTAGAGGCCACAGGTGAACATGGGGGCCAGCAGAAGCCACAAATCTGTGGCACAAAGCCTGTGTCTTCCTGTGGAAGGACAGATCAGGGTACACACATGATTTAGAAATTCAAATACTGTGTTTCTGACCATCACAGGGAGTGGTAAAGGACAAATTCTGTACTTGCAGAGGGCCAGAGCCCCAGGATATGCTGTCAGTACACACCAGTGGACCCATGTAAATCTCAAAGGCCTCATAGTGTTGAACAGGGTGCCTTTGCTTGCTAATGTTTTGTTTGTATGTGGCAGGAATAGTACAGGTGCAAACACAGGCTCAGACATCCTCCACAGTTGAGGAACCCCATCTACGAAATCCACCTTGGATTAAATCTAATTCAGCATTGACTCAGCTCCAGAGCTGGGAACCTCCTGTGTGAGGAAACACTCCTCCCTGCTGGGCACAGATAGATCTGCTTCTTCCAGATCTATGACAGTCTGAGTTATCAGCTTACACTATAAACTAGGACCACCTTCCTGGACTACTTTTTCTTTCATCACTCTCAGACATGTCCTCCAGCTTTAGAAAGGCTGTCTCTCTTTAAATACAATTTGTGGGCTGCTGTTGTACTCCCACACGGATCTGCTGACACAGCTATTCTGGTGGTGCCTGGTAGTACTGAGCCATGAACTCCACAGCATCCGCAAAGCACAACGGAAAACGCCAGAATTTTCCAGAATGGGAAAGGTCATGGCAAAGAGGGTGAGCACTCATCATCATTATTCCACTGGAGGAAAAGCAAAGAGATCAGTCCTATATAAAGAAGCTGTATTAACCCTTATTTCTATATTAGAACAGTTTTCCTAATGAAAATAATAGAATATTAGTTAGTTACGGAATATTCTTTGTTGTTAAGGCAATGGCAAAGAGCATAAAATCTGTCAGGGATGCCCTAGACACACCTGACCTCTGCAGCACGGACTAGGCGGTGTACAGTGGTCCCCCTAGGTTAGGTGTTTCTGCAGCTGTCCCCAGGACAAAGTTCTGTTGACAGTGAGAAACTCCTGCCTCCACCCTTCCTGAACAAAAAGCTGCCTCTTGGGCGGCAAAGAAACACATTTCCACTATGCACCAAACTCAGTCCCGGTAACGGGGCCAGGCTTGCATCGCTCATAGTCTTGCCTTACGCTAGCGGGGCGGTGGGCACGGGGAGCCGACTGCCCACAGGCGCGGG